ATAACCATCATGAAAAAAGATGAATTCTTGATCAGTCGACTTCTGTCACCATGGCAACTTTGCTTTTTCCTTTCCTGCTGAAACAGTTCAGGAGTACTTAACTCTCTGAGGCCTCATCATCATTTTCTATTCAGATATTAGCATATTTACATTTTCTCCCCAGCATCTCTGGTGGGGAGCAGGAACGCTCTGTGACAACAGTTACCAACATATTAATGAAGCTTTGGTGAATTAACAAATCTCCACCAGTTCCAATATATTAACATATTCACAGGAGCATTTGGGAGCTGTGCTGAATGTGAAGCTGTGCTTATTTCTTAGTCCCCGAGATGCCTCATGTTAATTGTATAAGGAATAATAAAGAATATAATTGATGTGATTAAATGCGATCTTATGAGAAGAAAAGATATCTGCAGCATTCTGTGTATGTGGACCTAATTCACTGGAGTACAGAAAAAGATCAAAGCCGTATATCATTAATGAAACTTGAAAGCCTTGATGTTTTCACAACCTGTTCACTGATTTATTTGTCTACAAGTGCTTCACTTTTATATTAATGGTAGAGCATTTAAAGAGGATGAGCGGAATGTAAGTGAGGTTTTTGAGTTGCTGTTAGTCAAGGCTCTTTTCTACATTTTTTTATATTTTATTTGGAGTTTTTCCAATCTGTAAAATACACAGAAAAAAGGATTAAAAGAACAGGAAAAACAAACACCCAAAGCCCACCCACCCACACGAAGGCCAGAATATATAAAACATCTTATAAAAGTGTTAGAAAACTGTACATGAATACCAAAAAGCTGAGCAGGCAATACCTACTGCTATGGCAACAAATGTCCAAAAAGGTATTCATGAACCATAGGAAACCACAAACAGTCAGAACAACAATGAATGAACAGATAAATACATGGAGTCTGATAGACCTTGTTAGACACCCTTCTCTCTAATATATTCCACAAAGGGTCTCCAAATATTTGCAAAGTTGGAGTAACAATTAGACAAAGTATCTTAACTCTCCAAGTACAAACAGGAAATCATATACTGAGCCATTTTTTATAACAAGGACAGGATGAAGATTTTCTATTCCCTCAAAATAAAACTTTTAGCCATAACCATGTCAAATATGAGAGCCAGTTAACGCTCATACGGTAGTTGAAAGTAGTATTCAGAACAGCCTAATACAGCAAAATTACAGTCAGGCACGACTTGCCTCCCAAGTATTCCTCTGTAGCACTGAAATATCTCCTCCCAGAATTTATGCATTTTAGAGCATGACCAGCAGAGGTGACTTAAAGTCCCATCCTCCAACTCACATTTGTCACATTTAGAGGAAACGAAGGGGTAGCTCTTATTCAGCTTGACCTTTGAATAGTGTATAAGGTGTATAGTTTTAAATTGTATGAACTGAAGTCTCACATTAACAGAACAATCCTTAATTCCACTCAGCCCTTTTTTCCTAAAGAGGTATTTCAGAGCCACTTTCCCTGCCGCATGCATCATTGAGATTTTCAGAGGAGATATTCTCCTTAAAGAGAGCGACCAACTGGGATATTACATGTTTTTTGGCAGAGACAGTAGAGAGAGACAGGAAAGGCAGGCTGAGAGAGAGACAGCACAGGGCCCGAGCTGCACTTGAAGCTGGGCTGCTGCGGTCAGGACCTTGACATGTGGTACGCACTCTACCAGGTTAGCTACTGGGGCGACCTGACTGTGATATTAAATGTTTGCAGGTGGGAGTTAGAGACATGCATTCATTATAGGCCTGCTGCAGGGGTAAGATGTCAGACTGTGCTAAAAACTGTCTCATAAACTTTCTCATTTGCAGGTAGCAGAAAAGGTGACTGTGAGGGACACTGAATCTATATTTTGATTGATCTTTTGATGATTATGAACATAAAAATTGTTTACAGGTACTTTTCTGCCCATCTGTGGAGAACAAAATGAGTTTGACCTGGAATGAAATTATGATTATTATAAAATGGCACGTATATGGAGGTATCTGTGACATCCAGTGCCCTCTTAATTTGTTTTTCTTCAGTATTTTATAGAAAGATTAAATGAATCAAAGCTGAAAAATTGGGATATACATAGATAAACGTCTTGATGATATTAGGTTTGAAAAGGTGTTTTTTTTTGTTGTATATTTGAGGACAAAAACAATTATGTGCTCATTCCATCAGATATTCTTTTTGAAGGGAAAGGGTATTGTGTTGTGGGTTGTCTGCAGCCTTAATGTTACCAATCTAGCAAATGTTTTTAAGTCCATCTATAGTGAGTCTCTCTCAGAGTTACTCAGCCCTAAAAGAGTTCCTGAAGGCTGGTGTAATGTTTGTTGCTGCCACAAAGAAATTCATGACAAAAATAATTCATGACATCTCCTGACATCTTGACTTTAGAAATGTCATCATTGTGAAAATGATGTGACCCTGATATCACATGTATGTGTGATGACTATGTCAGTTTTTTAGCACTGCAGTACATACAGCACAGTACTGTCATGTGTCAGGATTCTCTCTCTTTCTTACAGTGATCTTTAAACGCAAGTGAGCTCCAAATGCAATAAAATGACAAAATATTGAAATATATCTGATATTCTTTATTGGCAAGCATTTTTTATACATCATCATAATTTTTTTTAGTTCCTTCCATCTATACTCTAGCAATAACTCATCCTCACTAAATAAGATGGATACGTTTACTTATGGTGGCCTATAGAAATGTCATAGCTCAGAGCTTAGGTTTAGTCTTTCTTTCATGGGAAGTGACATTAAAGGAAATGTGAAAAGGTTTTGCACCAAGAGATCTCAGTGTTCTGGGAATGAGCAAATTGAAATGAAAAAAAACCCAAACAAAACAAAATCAAACACTGTCCTCAATAAAACCTTTGTTTCTTTAAAGGAAAAATTTAAAGTCAAGGCTTTTTGAAGAATATGCATATTATATGCTGTTATATAATTATGTTTATTAACTCTAAATGGACATTTAACATATTTTAAATTTATATAGTCAAGTAAATTTTCTGTACAGATCCAACTCCTCCTGCTGATTCAAATTATATGAAATTTGTGGATCTTATTTTTGTCACATGCTGACACATCACAGATGCTTTACAAGATCAATTTTAATTTGTATTATAGATTTTTCATGTGAGCTGGAAAATCTTCAGTCTTTCATAAGTGTTTCAGTGTCTTAACCATGAACTCTAAAGTGCTTCACTGATTTCAGCTGCTACAGTTAGCAAACATGTGGAAGGAGCAAATAGAGGAAAGGTTAGTAACAGCTTCCAAGTTTGAACAGCATGAGCTAAGATAAGACACAAATCCTCTACGGCTCCACACAATTGACTTTGTTTTTGTTGAACTTTGCCTGGGGTTATATGCAATGCTGCTGATCAGAACAGTAAATACACTCCCTTCCTTAGCAGTGCAGGGAGACTGAGTGAATGTTTTACTGTAGAAATACTGTTTCTTCTGTCCAAAGATATATTTGTAACATTTGATGCAGAATATTGGCACCTTAAATGTGGTTTTCTTTGGGCCAACTAAATATCAAAGGCAAGACACATCTCAGTCTGATCTCTGCCATCTGCTTTGGGTTTTGTCAGAACCACATGAGTGCAGATGGGTTGTAGTTACATCTTATTTTAACAGTTTTGACATGGGAAAGGTCACTGGTGTGGTAGTGGCAAGTTCCCAATGTAAACTGTTGAAGAAAAGTCCTTAGATTGAAGTTTGCTGTACGGAAGTAAGTTTAATGGTATCCCAGGATACGGTGAGCCAACTGACACAGAGCGGGTCTGAGGCAGTAGACTGACCCCGAGTGTAGGGCAGGGGCCCAGTTATACAGAGAAAGACAAAGGAATGGACACTGTATTTGCATATACCTGGGGTTACAGACATTTGGTCAGACAGGAAAGGAAGTTTATAACAAAAGATAATGTTTATCAAGAGTAGTGTAGCACCTTGGTTCACGTTATAGGGGGTAGGGGGTAGGGGGTTGGATCAGCATATATATGGATAGGGCAGGCAGGGCCCCTAGACTGAATTAACATTACAGGTAAGATGTTGTTTAGTAAGATGTTGTTAAGACAATGAAGTGTTGGTGATGTAAGGGGAAGACAGACGGTGGGCGAGAATAAACAGGGAAAGGTGGTATCTCCTTGATCAAGGATCAAGGAGTTAACTCAGTGGGGTTGTAGGGTTGTTTCTAGGTGCTAGCCAGTCTATACTAAAGGATGTGTATTTTCTTCCTCAAAACTAAGTTATCTTCTTTAAAAGATCTGTTCATTTCTCAGTTCAGTGGCGCTGCCTGTCAGTTGCGAGCGAACGTGCAGATGTTACATTGTTTTATGGATTCCTGCCCTTGGGTCAACACTCCTTCTGACGCCCCTACTGTAGTGCGTATTTCTGTGGATTCAATAGCTTGTTTGTTTTTGTTGGCAAACTAGCTTTGGAGCAGTTGTTGTTATTGTTTAATTAGTTATTGTAGAATTTGTGGTTTAATAAATAATTGAACTGAACATTTTTTTTTTTATTGATCACTGAGATAGCACTGACTTGGCATGAAGGTCATTTAATTAAAAATAAAATAAAAAAGTCGCTTTTGTTGTTCTTAGGCTTTATGTAGACGGTTTATTCCAATAAACCGTAGCAAAGTGGACCAACACTAAAGCACCAGTTGTAGTGAACCTGAGCCTCTTCACAGCATCATAGTATATCACACAGTATATGCACAAAGGGGAAAAAAATGGAACGAACGAACCAGGCAAACCTGGGATGGCTTGAAAGGCACACACAAACGGCTCTCCAATTACAGTGGTGGGATTGATAAACTCGGTGGCATATGATTCCCATGGTTTGAACAATTTGGACCACTTCTCAATTCCCATCCCTATTCATTGGTCATCATCTTTAGTGAATAAATGCTTGTTTTCTGTCTGGCTCTCTGACTGTCACTCTGCTTGAGTTGCTGATCCCTTGATGAAGAAAAGTCTTGCCTACCTGGTGGATGAACACCTGTGCACCTCGTGGGCTCATGAGCAGCACGGCCCGCCGTAGAGTGTCACGATACCGGTTGAGTTCCTCAGTGCGCATTGTGTTGAATAGGTCGGTAAAGACACGGCTGACGTTGCGGTCCACCCTCTGCAAGGACACATCCAGACCCAACCGAGAAGCCTGGTCCATAAAGGTTTGCAAACCCCGGATATCTGAAGGAGAGAAACAGTGACAGACAGTGAGTGATGGGGGACACACAGACAGAGACAGAGTAAAAATAACACTTTAGGCAGGTGCTGTGTTATACATTACTTTATTCTCAGAGAATTTAATCAGATTTGCGGGTTAACAACCCGTGCTTTCAACACCTGCACATGCACTCTATATTTTCAGGCTTCGTTCCAAGGGCTTCAAGGCAGGTTTCGTTCTTTGCTCCTGATCTAAAGCATGACAAAACAGAACAAGCCTGTCTTTCTGTTTCCTGGGATTTACAGGATATGAAACTGCAGACAGGTGTTGCTGAACCCAGAGACCTCTGTGTGTGTGTGTGTGTGTGTGTGTGTGTATTCATTATACAGGAAACCACTTAAAAGAAGCCTGCGCAGCACACACAAATCAAAGGTGATGTGCAGCAGAGGGCTCACAATAAGCACACCAATCCCAGCAGTCACGGTGGGAGCAGCAGCCCAGCATGTGCCAAGTCATGCCGCATTGTTAAAGAGAGGTTAGGTGAAATCAGTAGTGCCAGACCTCTTTCTGGCACTACTGATGAATGTGTGTGTGTGTGTGTGTGGGTTTTCCCCTGTTGCATCTCTGGAGAATTGATGAGTCATCAAGCGCTCTAGTGCTTTACTGCTGACAAAAGACAATGTACAGTGGCATACAAAGGCAAACTGGCTTGAACACACATAAAGTTGCCGCAAAGATTTTCGTCGCTCAGAGGCCAAAACTGGAAATAAGGCTAATAGTAAAACTCCTGACCTGGTCTGAGCAGTGAAGCAACATATTGGTACATCTCCCTTTTTCTACAACTACAACTCGGGGCAAACTGAAGTAGCAATATGACTAAGTACCATATGAAGCAAATCATAAAGAATTAGATGCAATGTTTGATTTTTCCTGACATTTTTCTATTGCAATTCATTTTTTTGGAAACATAAATACTCACAGTTGCCGCTGGATTCTCTTCAGAATACAAATGTTCAAAGGGCAGAACATAACATGAAATTAAATCATTCATCATTTTGAAGCGTCGCCAAACACTTACTGCAACACTCTTTGAAAACTCTTTCCTTTACGAACACACACTCTCACACACCCCTTTACTATTGTCTCTAAATTGAAATGTTTACCCCTGGTGATTTTACATTGAATACAATGGACAAAACACTCAACCTCTGAGTAATCGCTCCTTTTGTTACAGCACAAACACAATTTGTAAGTTAATCACAGTTCCTTCACTCCAGTCCCACGACTGGACTGTTGCAATTAATTTTGGCTACAGTCTTTTCTTTATGCAATATTCAGCTGCAGTAACATTTGGTGATATTGACTATAGACTAAACATAGAATCTGATTTAATATTTATTCCGTTCTTCAGTGTGAGCAATCTATTATATGAAACCCTCAGGGTGTGACAGGATAAACCTTTTGTAAATTTGTGGTGTCTCAATAAGCAAACAAATTACTCACTCATACACACAAATTAACAAGTTGTTGAGTTGATGACTTTATCACTCATCCAATTCAGACTGGATCAACACAACAAGGAGTTGGGGTAACGGACCAAAAAAGACAAACAATTCTGAGTTGTGACATAATGTAGCTGCTGGGTGAAAACCTTGTATCACTCAAATGGGAAATAGGAGAAATATACTGCAACAAACAAACAAGAGTTTTTAATCCCATGAAGAGCCAAGGGAAAGCTACCATGCGATAACTACTCTAGGACCCCGATAGAAACACCGGACTTCAAAGCCGGCGTTCCAAACCCGTAGCAGGCTTTTCCATGGGGCAACCGTGTCAGCCATGGACAGGGCTGCAGAAAAGAGGATTAACGTGGAATTAAAGGTCTGATTTCTCGACATGTTTACCCGAGCGTCATTTCTGAACACAAATCTGCTTCTGAAAGTTTTAGATATCAAAACTTTCCCCTTCCCTGCCCCCCTGCATCAGTGTCTCTCGCTCTGACAACTCACTCATGACTATTTCTTTCTGTCCCTTACCTATCTTTCCCCTAACAGTATCTGTTTGAGAGGACGGGATAGATAGATCAAGGCAAACTGAGAGTACCCAATGAAGTTGCTCTTATGTCCTTTTCAGCTCTATCTTACTCGAGTTGTAACTTAAGTGGGACTCCCTGTCGGATTGGAGCAATACAGAAATGAGCATATCATGATCAAAGGGCTCAGAGGTTTTTACTGAGCTGTCAAGCTGTGTTGCAATCCAAGCGGAAAAAAGCCAGAGAAGTGGCTACGCTACCAGCCTGTGTTTACTCAAAACGGAGATGAGTCTGTTAAAGTAATCACTCTTATTCTTGCAATAATAACATCAGTTAATTATATGCAATACAGATTTTTTTTGCCAATCTGAAATGCATCAGGTGCTGAGTGTGCTATGTACTGCCACAAGAGCAATTAGAGCAACAGAGAGAAAGAAGAGAGAGTGAAATTAATGTTTCAATTTCAATCCACCCTGTCTTTACTAAGTGCAGATCTATACTCTATACCATGTTAACAAAGTATTTTAAAGTTAAGTATTACTATATTAATGCTCTGAATGAAAGGACAACAAAATGTATCAAATATGTCTTACAGCATGGTTATGAGACCCATTCATCTGACAGACATACTCTGGAAGCAACTTGCAGCATGTTGGAGGACAAGAGAAATGATCTATGGACTGAAGTGGAGTGAGCAAATGATCCAGCCAGTCAATAATCAGAGAATACAAACATACATGTAAAAGGAATGAATGACATTCTGTCTTCGAACCATATTTAGGTTCTTCTTATCTGTGAGTATAGGGTGCTGTTTTGGAGCATGTAAATGACACGTAGATCACATGCATGTAGATCACAACACTGATGGAACGGCCTCAAACAAACAACACAGGGGAGCTGCATTCACTCGGATCTGCACCTACAGTGGCCCTGCCTTTAACCTCATGGTGGGATCTCTGCCCGTCAAGACACACAACTGGAAATATATATTAAAAAAAAAAGTAAAGGTAAAAAATTGTGGATTAGTAATATTTATGAAATAATCCCCTTTTACTGTCACTAGTCTCAGTTACTGTTGAAAAAGGTTATTGCTGTTCTCTCACTTTCTCATTTCCTGCTTCTGAAACTATTAATTTGACACAATTCAGCACTTGGTGCCAAAAACAAAAAAAAACATCCATCCAACATCCAGTACTGCAGACAGAAACACTCTTTTGATGAGAGAGGTCAGAGGAGAATGGCCATGCTGGTTGGAGCTACAGTAACTCGGATAACCACTTTTACAAGTGTGGTGAGCAGAAACGCATTGAATGTACTACACGTGGAACCTTGAGGTGGATGGGATGTGGTAGAATGGGGGAGATTCTAGCATCAATGTGCAGCTGACAAATCTGCAGAAATAAAGTGATGCAATCATGTCGACATGGAACAGAATCTCAAAGGAATGTTTTCAACATCTTACTGAATCCATGCCACAAAGAACTGAAGCTGTTTTGAGAGAAAAGGGAGGCTCTAACCAGTATTTATATGGTGTTCCTATTGACGTGCTCTGTGAGTGTATATTTTGGCAAGTAGTAACTGTCATTGAACTTATCTGCTGTTTGAACTGAGGTAAATCCTTTCAAATGAGCATGATCTCTCTGCTTTTGCACACATTTACAGGTAAGGATTTGTGTTCTTCTGTTTTCTGAACAAGGGTGAATGATTTTCTGAACTTGTACTGTGATTTGAGTGTGTTTCTGAGCCACAATATTTTGTCCTTGGTTTTGTTTGGACAGCAGGAGGTCTGCACATATTATTATTTAACTTGCAATCTGTTATATGAAACCCTCAGGGTGTGACAGGATAAACCTGTCACAAGTTGTAGAAAGCAGCTTTTTACTATTACACTTTGGGCATGAATATACCACATCACGCTTTCTTTTGTTGGTCAAAGTCTATAAAAACTGAAGTAGAACACTGTCAACAAAATGGTTCCAATATAAGCAGTCTGGTCTGAATGTGCAGAGCAGGCTGGGCTGGAGTTACAGTCCCGGACTGAATTATTATCTCAGTCTGGGCCTGGTGAATGGTCTCACAGATACTGTACAGTGATTGCATTTTTGGCTGGCGCGTTTTAGTACGAGAGGGGAATGAAATTAATTGCCATATTCAAATTTGGCTGGCATGCTTTTGGATGATACAATACTGTGTGCTTATAAGGGAGCCTGTTAGACCAGAATGCAGCAATTGGAAAGATAAAAATGCAATAATAAAAAACTAGAAATAATGTAGAGACAGGAATCAATAAAAGTAGAAAATAATCAGCCCCGCACAAGACTGTAGGGTTAAATTTGAAGTAATTTGAAGTTTTATTTTTTTCTTTTTGTATTTAAAATGAGGTCAGGATTAGGGTTAAAATAATCTGCTGATATTCAGAAAATTGGCCTTAGACATTTTGTTGAACTTCCACTTTTTGTTGAGCATCAACACAGAACTATGCAAATTAGGCCTTACCAATTGTTTACTCTCTCACAAAAAGGTTAAATGCTTCTGTGTGGTCATGCAGAATTTATTTCTTCATTTCTAACCGGTAATCATCATTTGTTAGCCAGGGGTATAACGATGCTACATACATGTACAACATATGCATATTTCCTACTTCCTGTAATTTCCTACCACCACAGCAATTAACATTTTCTCAATGGTTCCGAGTGAATTTTTCCACATGAGATTTAATACAGGAAACTATCAGGTGTAAATCCCTGACTGGTATGTACTATATTTACTGTATATACTGTTTAAAACAGAAAAAAAGTATTTTACAGTGTCTTTTCCTTCACACCCCTTTCTTCGTTTATTTTACTTTCTCTTAATCTCCTCTATATTCTCATGGAAAGCCAATTAATGGAAGGTCACCTGTATGTTCACTTTCTGTGAAATTCCTGACAAGTTAATTGGCAGTGTTACAGACCTAATGGCCTAAATGTGACATTAACTGAGATGAAATAA